CAGTTTCCATTCCCATATCCATTTCCGCCAAAGTTACCGTTACCCCCTCCTTGTTGTGGTAACCCGACATTCATGGGGACCATATTCTGTGGTGCAGGTGGGGCCACATTCTGTGGAGCCACATTCTGTGGAGCCACATTCTGGGCTACTGGTCTCACTTGAGCTGCTGCCTGTATCGCCGCCACCATCGCGTATGTTATCGGTTGCCCCGTCTGACTGTCGATAAAGGTCACCTTTTCGGTGACCTCTCTGACCGGAGTCTCCACGCGGTACTCAACCGGCTGCTGGGCTGGCGCAGCTGCCATTCTCTGTTGCGGCACGTTTTCAACTTGACCTTGGCGGATCGTCGCGTAATCCTGGGTGCGTTGACCTTTTGGCGCCTTGTATTTCTCTTCGCCAGTGGCCCAATGTCGGAAGAAGTCTTTCACGTCTGTTGGCGTCTTGCACTTCTGTATGCGCAATGCCTTGTAGAGTTCGTTATCCCCTCTACATCCTTCAATTAGGAAACCCACAGCTTGTTTCTCTGTGATGATCCGTTTTGCTTTAAATCGCATCATCGCCTGGTAATACTGATCAAGCGATTCTTTCCCGAGTTCGAATTTCCTTGCATAGGCCTCACGTAAGCCTAAGACTTCTTCGTCTCTATCGCCATATTCATCTTTGAATTTCTCCATCCATTCAGTTATTGAATATTCAATTCCGTCTTCTGCTGCGATGTCTTTTCGCCTTCAAACCAAGTTTTAGCAGGACCTTTCACCGCACTAGCAATCTCAATCATAATTTGGTCGTCCGTCAGCTGGTACGTCCTTTGGGTTTCTTTTACCAACCGTGTCCATCCACTCACAGTGTCGCGGCTGCCGTCAAAGGTCATGAGGTGTTTTCCGAGCCATCGAATTGAGTGCCTTTGTTAATTGTACCGCTGTGTTGGCTGCTCTCTGGTCTCGTCTTCTTCGCTACTCTCATCATTGTGAGTTCGTTGCGCCTTCCCATAACGAGACTTCCTTGGACGTTCCTGCCGGCTGGGGGGTCTGTCTCGTCGTCCTTCGTCGATAAACACATTCGTTTCAATGTGCGGGGGAAATTGTGAAGGATCACCTCGACTCATATGCGGGTAACTTTCCGAAGGTGGCTCTTTGTCGTCTTTGACCTTTTCGCCATCTCTTTCATTTTTAACACTCCCCTTACCGGTGCCGGTTCGTAGCGGCATCTCAAAGTGGAAGCTTTTGCCCGTGCCCGTTTCATGCGCCTTGCTGTAACTGGGCGGGGGGGACTCCACTGTTGCCGTTTTAACTCCGTATTGTAGGAGTTGTTCATCTTTGTGCTTGTTAGACGCCTGGAGCGCCTTGTTCTCATCTTCCAATCGTTTAGTTCTCAGTTGAAGTTCTTCTCTTTCTCTCTTTAGATCAGAATTTTCCAGGTTGACCTTTCGTAAGTGTTCCTGCAGTTTAAAAGACTCCTGCTGGGTGACCTTTTCATTTTCCTGTTCCATCTTTTTGATGTGCTCGACCAGCTCACTCGTTTCATTTTCGAGTTGCTGATACTGCCCAGCGGCTGATCTCAGCTGATCCTTGATTGCGATCAACTCATCATCTTTTGCCAATGCTGTGGTGGTCATCTCGACGAGGTCAGTGTTCAGCTTTGCAATCTCCTGACTCTTTTGAGCGACCTGTTGTTGCCACTCTTTGTCCTTCAGCTCCAATGTTGTGACCATTATGTCCAGTCGCCGTGCTTCCTTCTGCCATTTGAGTCCTTCCTTAGTGACCTTTTCAATGTCTTCTGTGACCTTTTCATTCTCCTGGTTGACCTTTTGATTTCTTCTTTCAGGCGTTCTCCTTCAGTAGCTGTGATGTCTCTTGCCTCTCGCATCGCTTTGATTGCATCATTGCGCAACTTCTCAGCTTCGTCCACCCGTTCCTGATGACCTTTGATTCTAGTTGCAGAGTACTGACAGCCTCCTCCCGTAGCTTCAGGTCATTCCTTAGTTTGAACGTCTCCGTTGCAATGTCGTTAACTGCTGACCTCTGCGAATTTGGTCGCGTATTCGTCCCGTTTAGTTTCAGCTTCAGTGACCTTTTGACGCAACTGGTCACACTCGTCCTTCAATTCGGCTAAGTGCCGTGACCTTTCAGCTGATTCTTCTGACATACTCGTTCAACTCGCTAACCGCAAGATGACCTTCCATTTCTCTGTCATCTACCATTTTGAGGTAACTCTTCAGCGAGTTCTTTGACGCTCGTATTTAATCTTCCATTCATCCGCTGCGCTTTCCAAGTCGGCCTGTTGTTGCTCCAGTTCATAGATACGAGCATCCAGAGTTCCTATCCGATTTTGATATTCCTGTTTCCTTTTCGTCACCAGGCCTTCCTTGGCTTCGAGTTCCTCTTCCAACTCCTTCACGCGTCTCTTCAGAGTTGACGTGGACTGTTAGGTGACGGTGGTCGTACATTGATGACCTTCCTGTTTGTGTCCGTTCGATTAGGTGCTCCGGTATATCTTTGAAAGGTGTTATCCCTTCAGCACGGTCAGCCTCCTTCATCGCGGTTTGAAAGGACATATTCATCGTCGCTTCGTCATCCGTGAAGTAAGACTCATTCGATTCATCTGAGACCATTGGAGTTGACCAAAGGTCATCTTCTGCCGCCTTGTCATTCAGTGAAATGTCACTCAATCCCAATTCAACCAATTCCTCTTCCGTGGCCTTTGTCTTGTTCATTTTCCCTTGAGCCAGGTTCACATTTGTATCCTGCTCATTCATTCCGCCAGTGGTGGCATCCGACTGTGATGTACCAACTGGTTCCGCTCCCCTTTCTGTGGGTTTTTCCTCCCCGGTGACCTTTATCTGGTTCATCGGATTGCCTCCCGCCGTAGACGCGGGAGTTTCCTTTCCGTCACCGCTGGAGCTCTCTTCGTTCTGTATAGCTCCAAGCGCCACTTGGTATGTGTTATCACTGCCTTTGCTGTCCTTTCTTGCAAAGGTCACAGCCGCTCGGGTCTGTCTATCATGTCCGACTGGACGCGCGAGCGACTTGTATTCCTTCTTATGAGGATCAACTGTGCCTTGTTGTGATCCCCGGGAGCTCCTGCTTCCCTGACTGCTAGTGGATGTCGGTTCCTCTTTGTCCATGTTGATCGGATAACTTGGACGCTCCTGCCAATTGTTCTCACACACACGTTATTGTATGGTTTATTCAGTTGTCCTAAAGGTCACTTCGTACTTCGAAATTTTTCTAAGTCCTTTTGTAAAGGTCACTTTTCGATTGAAAAATTTCGACTAAGTCCCTTATAAAGGTCACTTTTTTCGGAAAAAGTTCGAGAGGTTTGCCCTAAAAGGTCACTTTCGGACAAAACTTCGAAACGGCTTTTACGGTTCCAAACACGTTAGTGAATGAAATCCTACAGCTGCTGATATCGCTGTACCACTATTCAGTTCAATTTCGCTTCGATAAAGGTCACCGTTCGTCAATTCAGATCGGAAGTTAACTTTCGGTAAAGGTCACTTTCCGATGTCAAAGGTCAACTTCTGATCTCAAAGGTCACTTTCCTGCTCGTCTCAACTCAGTACTAACTGGTTAAAAGGTCACTTTCCAGCTCAATTTTAATCAAAGGTCACTTTTCCTTTGTCTCAACTCAAAAGGTCACTTCTCAACTCGATTTAAGCTAAAAGGTCACTTTCTAGCTCAATTAACTCAAAGGTCACTTTTCCTTTGTTTCAACTCAAAAGGTCACTTCTCAACTCAATTCAAGTTAAAGGTCACTTTTCCGCTCAATTATCTCATCTCAAATCAAATTTCCCATTACGACTCGAGTTCAACGGAAAATCCCCATTCGGGTTGTTTACTTCATTCTATTGGTCAGCTAGCAAAATCATTCAGTTCAAATTTCAACCAATCACAGCTCAGATAACTGACCAATCACGTTGCTCCTCTAAAATTTATATCTGCCTGACGTCACGGTCAACGGCCAGACATGCGCGCCGTGTGCAAAACTCCGCCTATTTTTACGCTCAGCTCAGAACGGACCAATAAAATTGACAATTTTACCGTCTAACCAATCTCGTAATTAATAACGGTTTTCTACCTGTTAACCGTCCGTTCCACGGGAAAACGATCCAGATGATCCAGATTCTTCTCCACTGTCCGTTCCCGCGCTGCCGCCGGTTTTACCGTAACGGTGGTGCCGCACGCTTTTGATAGGTTACTGTGCCGGCTGACTGCCGTAGCAACAGTAGTGGTACGCTCTACACCAATTTGCGGAGTCTGATCTGTCTTTTCCGTACGCCCCTTTCGGCGTTTCGGCGCTTCTGCCCCACGGCTTAGGATTCGCTGAATCCTTGCCGAGTACCAGTGACACCAGTGTAGGTCTTCGCTGAAGACTCTACACCGAGGAACACTGGCGACTGCTCTCTTGAACTCTTGCACAGTCCCTGCAACAGTACAGGTCTTCGCTGAAGACGCTGCACCGAAAACAAGGCTGGAAATCCACGTCCGATGAGGAACTTGCACCGCTTGTGGTGTTGCGCTTTGCTGTGGTACAGACCTGTGCCTTACTGGTCGGGTTTCACATCAGATAACAGGCCAACTTTGCCTGACACAAATCAAATCAAATTCAGAGAACCGCTGTCGGCTCTGCTACCATCTAATGGTAGATCCAGAATGGATCCACAGACGGAGACAGAAACGGAATCTATCCCGTGGAGTGAGCGACACGATCTGGGTCGCGAGCTATGCGGAAACACAAAACGTCGCACCGTAATCGCTGACTTTTAATAATATTGAAAATTCCGACAACAGAAAATCAACACTGATCGGCGCAGCTCGATCGTAAAGCGTGGAGCCCATTCAACAGCGTGCAACGCTGTGCAGCACGTGCTATGCCGCGCCCACTAACAAAACACAAGCCAATCAGAAGCGAGACACAACACAGGCCATAATCCAAAGGCGTAGCGCCTAGCGCCACTGACGTGAACGCTAGTGATCCCGGTCTCACAACACAATGGACATCAAAAAGCACATTATTTGAGGGGGATATTGCCGGCATCGACGCAGATTCCGTAACAAGCGTAATACTCAGTGAGTCAGTGGTAGCTTACAGAATTTTGCGTGTGGATGTTTTGTATGCAAGCAGAATTATTATCAGTTTGATTTTGCCCGCGCGTACAAGTATCTTTCTTTCACAAGTTCATTTTATTCATACTGTTAAAATAATTTGTTTGCCTGTTCACCGCGTTACCATTCGATCACCATCTATGTTTCACAGGGTTAGCAAATGGCTCTGGATGTCGTAACTGACAGCGAGCTGCTCTGGCCGGATAGGCGAGTACCTTTCGTAATCAGTCCAAATTTTGGTGCGTTCTTACGCTGACAAACAGTAACCAGATACAGTAGCGTGTCGCTTTTCTGATCTTTCCGCCACAAACCATAACGCGCGCTATGAGCAAACTTTTCTATTGCACCTTTTCAGTGAATACAGATGGGTCGGTGCATACCACTTGAGAAGATGCTGCTATTTTCTCCAATCCTCTTTTCAAATTAAAGAATTTAAAAATTATTCTTTTAAATTAAAAGCAAAACTGAAAACGCAGCTTCACGATTCAGAGTTTTTGAGAATGTGTAACAACGGAACTTGTTGCGCAAGTGCACGAATTTGGTGCCATGTACCGAATCACTTCCCTAAATGCGGAAGCTTCCCAGGCTTTCCTTGTTGGGCAACCAAATTTTTTTATATTGATTACAGCATGTCATCATTTTTAGGTCTTACAGAACAAATTATGATTCTGAATGCCATGCAGAATCTGTCCACAGAAGCCGGCAGCGATTGCATCAGATTCACCGGTCGCACCGATGCAGATGGGGATGATCCCTTTATTCACTTCGTTCGTGGCGTTCAGTAAGCGAAATGGAGTATTTGCCAGTCGTCATTTTAATTTTTAACTAGCGCCCCGTTGAACTCCAGATGCAGTTCCCACATCGGGCGTCAAACCGAGGCTGACCAGAAGATTGAGCTATCGGCCTCATGTCTGGCGGAAATCGGCATCGTTCAACACGAGATTATGCATTCTTTGGGCTTCTTTCACGAGATGTCGAGAAGCGACCGCGATGACTATGTCACCATCATCTGGAGCAATGTAGACAGATGTAAGAATCGTAGAGCAATAAGAGGTTTTGCCTAAAAATCTTCAAGACCGATATTGCAGTTAGCAGGGAACAATTTGGCAAATATCGTGGTGACATGCAAGGACTGCCATATGATTACAAATCCATTACGCATTACCCTATGAACGCCTTTGCTAAAGACCCAACGAAACCCACTATCCTGCCGAAACAAGAGAAAGCACCGATTGGGCAACAAAAACGACTTCCTCCATTGGATGTCGAACGAATCCGACGGGCGTATTGCCCGGGCAGATCTCCATTAAAGCTAAGAACAGTTGCGAAAAATCATGAGATCGTCTTGAAACAAGTGTTGCCACCAGCCACCCTTCCCAGTGCTGCCACCAGCCGACGGCCTTCTACAACGACAAGTAAACGCACCACTCGTTTGCCCTTTGCGACTGCAGTACGCACCACCACAACAGAGGCGGAAAACCCTTCCACGGGTAATAAAACTGTAATTTTAATTATTGTCTTCTACAAATGGTCTCATATTGTTACTTACAGAACTTGTTCCCCGTGGATCATCGCCAGTACCGTAATCAACCACGACCAATGAACTGGAAGATTCGGAACATAATTCAACGGCGACGACTGAACTTTCCGTGCAGCAAACTACAACCTTAGCTACTTCTACATTTAAAGGTGACATCTTCATATAGTAGTTCCGTCACACTGATTAAAAGTAAAATCTACTGCAAAATAATAGCCAAAATTATTCCAAAAACTCTGAAATATGTCGCAGGATTTTCAATATGCACCACGTATAATCGTCTTGGTTTTTTTTAGCTGATGCCGCAACGACCACTGGATTAAGAGGATGGGCACGGAGCGACAATGCCTTCGATATGGACGCCACAATCAACGAATTTACATCTCGAATCAACAGCCAACTGACCCAGATGAAAATGAACATGCTCCCGATATTCAGCGCTTTTCCTGCATCTGGTGGATTCAGTCCGTTTCCCAATTTTGGCGCATCCCATATGCCTAACCTTTCTTTCGGCGTCGGTGGAAGCGTTATGACTCAAAGCAGCTTTTCGCCAGATGGACGTAGCTTCTTCTCTCAGCAGATGCAACTAGATCCTTTTCCGGATAGTAGAAGTAGTTTTTCCAGAATGACATTTTCTAACAACAGCGGCGCTCCTTCCGCGCACAACGAAACTATGTAACTATGTGGCTCAAGGCATGAAGTGAAAGCAGCAGCTTCCAGACAGGATAGCAAAGGCACTACAATAAAAGTTATTGTTTACTGTAACTCAAATACCCTGCATACCGCTGGCTGGCTAACCGACCAAATGTACCTCCGTGACTCCGTCCAGCCATCTTACATTTCCTTACATCTTTATTCTACCGTACCATTTTATGTAGTTATTGGTTTGTGACCGCCACTCAGATCTCCCTAACAAAAAGTGTCAGCAGGGGTGCAATTTTACGGGTTCGAGTCACGAATTAAGACGATACTACACTTACACAAACCACACATTCACTAGCTAGTATTCGCCTCTCGTACATACATCATTCCTCTACGGTTTGGAATTTGCAGTTTCAAGATTTCGTACACTTTTATTAGATTCGTTTAATATTATTCTTCAAGACATTGTACGCAGCCGCTATCCAAGCATACATTTGTTGTATTGTTCAAATACTTCGCTGCAGTTTGTCCCAGACATAGTTGCAATCCAGTTGCTCTTGGACATTGCATTGCGCTCGCTCAGTTCAGCGAAAATAATAGTGTATCCAAGTACTGCCACCGCCACCTACAAAAGCAAGACATGTACTAAATTTTTCTAAACATAAAAATGAAGTGTCGCGTACCGCAACGCCCACTTCGCGGGTAATTTCCATGCCTGCCATTGTGATGCCTGGATTCATCACTTTCAAAGCGCTGAGGTAGTGAACCAAGCGTTGTTTGCCGGATGGTGACAGGTCACTGACAATAAGCGTGTGCTGGAACAGCTGAACTGTCTCGGATTTCTACAAAACCCAAAAATAATATTACCTCTGTTGTGAGTATCACATATCCATGCGAGAGCAATACGCACAGAAAATTTGCATTCCAAAAAAACAACCAACTAAGCCGTTACGATGAGCTGTTAAAACCGTAAAAAACAAATGCCAATTTGGAAAAATGATTGGTATGCACTCATAACACTGCGATAAAGTGGCAGTAATACTGCAGAAAAGCAACAAGGTTATTTAAATAAGTAAAAATAAAATGTTCCGAATTGTGACCTTTTCGGTGAGGTAGATGAGAACCAAAGTATGTGCCAGGAGCAGCGCCATAGATACTGAGATGCGCACCGTCTGCGCTATATTGACAGGGTTATGCGCTTGAAAATCCTTACAGGCGCCATAAATATATGATAACAATACCGACAAAACTTCCACATAGGCTAACACATTTGTCCAGCGAAAGAACCTATCGAACTGCTTGATCGCCAGGCAAAGTACATTATGTTTAGCTATCCATTCTGCGGTTTCTTGCTCGTCCGTTTTCCTCTCTCCGTGAAAAATGCACTCAGCAATCTTTCGCACCAAATGTCGGTATAACATACTGATTAATAAAGGAAATATAATCAGCAAGCACTGGGTAACCTTTCGACCAAAATATCCAATCATATGGAATACCGTTAGGGCGCTGTGCATGTGGAACGACAGATGTGTGTGTAATACATAGTTTTCTTCGTCAGGTGTGATTGGTTTCTCATGAATCTCAGCGACTTCTTTTAAATCGCTCATCAGATTGGTAGCCATCATGAAGAACGGGTAGGATGCCAGAAATGAGACAGCAACGACGGCCAAGATTATTCCATCACCGAGCGTTGTCACATGCCCAAAGGTCACCAGTACCGTTCTGTGCAGCTGCAGAAGAAAGCCGTGAGCGCGCCACAGCGATGAGACGTAGACCAACGTTAACGGATGGTATAGGTAGTGGCGAATAGATAGCAAAAGGTCAGCCATGCTGGAGAAGCTGGAGAATTTGTCCCAAAAGTATTTGACGAAGATGGCGTCGGCCGTCATCTGCACAGCGATGTAGCTGCATAGTGCCACTGTCACCAATATATTTAAAACGTTCTTGTTGGAAACTGTTTGGATTGGACAGAGAAAGTAACCGCTGAGATGCAGTAAAATAAACATGCAGATTAAAACGGCCGTAATAAGTGATGTCGGCGCCGTCAAGCTTTTGCCAAACCCATGCATTTTAACCTTACAATTATTAAATTTATTACGTCAGTAGAATGACACACATACGTACATAATATCAAAATTATTAGTGCTGTCAAAACTATTGTGACTAACAGTAACGTTTTCAGTACTATGCGACGGAATGTACGTTTACGCGTAGTTGTAATGAAACGGCTCAGTCGAGTATAAAACTCATCTGCCAACACGATCAAAGGAAAATTCACTGTCCATAAAAGTGTTTTGTTTTGACCCCGGGATTCAAAATATGGTTAACTTGTTCCTACTTGGTTTTACAATGTAAACAACTCGGCCATCCCGTTAAGGTTTCGTGGTGTAACGTAAACCGATGCCTTGTCATGTTTGTGTTGCGAAATGGGAGACGTTGATTTCGCTGTAGGTCTCATCAGCTCACGGTTCAGTCACGAATAAATGAAGCACTATCGTGATCTGCAAACTGCAACGCATAACTGAAATAATCATGATGTTTTTAATTGTTGTTACGTATTCGCCATTCAAATTACGGCACTTTACTCATCCATCATTTTCAGTACAATATAACACTTTGTATTTGTAAAGTGTTATGTTTTATCCGAGCGATAAATTTCTGTATTGCCAAAAGAATTACAGTGCTGCATACGGACGAGCATCACAGTCATCCGATGTGCTTTATTCAGATCAAGTACTTGATAGTTGATACTTATACAGGCGAGCTTCGCTTATTTATTCCCAACTCCAAAAATTGTCTAGGTAATAAATAATGCTCTTAACCAAGCAGAAAACGCTACTCGGTAGGTGTTTGTGTAAGCTTTCGGAAACTTTTGTCTGCCGCCACCGTGGCGGCGCCACGAAGAGTGTATGTAGTGTGATAATAGTACAGTACGACTAAACGTAGTCCCACAAATCAGTGTATTAGCTGCACAATTTTCAATTGTACACCGGCATGAAAATTTGCTCTACGCAGATGCTACGATTAACAACCGTTACTGGTGTTACTTTATTCATTATTGATAGCAGCGGCTATGCCGCAGTCAAGCGTGAGGATAATCAGATAGTCAATCCCCTACCGGCATTTGGGCTTTGAAAAATTACTGGACCCGGCTGCCGGCCATTTTCAAAATTCTTATGAAACGTTCCTGGAAACAATATGACTGTATCCGAAAATGTATACACCAGACGCATTAAGAAGTTCACACATTTACGAACGTTTGACATTTCGGGAAACAACCACTACATATGACGCATTTTTAACGTATTGTGCCAATAATATGCGTACCGCCGTGCAATGCTAGAGCGAAGCCGGAACTGTACAGATATTCCGCTTTTGCAAATGTGCACTGTGTATCAACTACGAAGTATTTGTCATCAAGATCGTTAATCTGATATTAATCATGATCATATTCATGCCTATCGGCAATCAAATTGCGCTCTCCGTACACAGCATGTACGGAAAACACATATAAAAGTTGTTCTTGTTAATCGAGGAAAATTAGGTAGTATTGGACTAATCATTCTTGAATCAATTTCGTGCGACCATTCGCAATGTGGCTTGCTTTCGGAATCCTCGCTATTTGTGCGGCTGTCGTATCAGCAGTTGCTATACCAAACAGTAAGTGTGTAAAAACAAAGTCTGCTAACCTTCGAGAAGAATTAATCTAGTTAATATAGTGCATTTGAATATTTTGTTAAGTTGGCAAGGTACGAGTAATAATTATCGTAACATTCTTGCGGGAGCAGATATCGACAGGAAAAACCGCTGCGCTATGACAGTGAATTGATGGAAGAAGAAAATGGTGACACCGAACTGTTGGTAAGAATACCATGTTTAAATTGAGCAGTTAATCGTTTTGTCGTCGCTTGGTTTTGCCTGTAAAATAGCCGCTGCCAGAAGCGGAAACGACGAGCGTTCAGGACGAACCGCTTTGGCTCAACAACAATGCATCCAATGAGAGGAAAAAGAAACAAGTTGCACAGTTTGGTAAGTGTCAAGAATACGAGTGCAAGGAAATTGTATAATGAGTTTACCAAAGCAAAATGCTCCGTTGCTGTTGGTTTAGAAGATCAGGAAACCGCCGCGACCCGCACTGCAGAGCTAAGCAGAACTGGGAAGCCAGCGGAAAATAATACAACGAGCAATGTGACGGAACACACAGTGATTGTTCCAACCTCAGAGGTGAAATCGCCTAGGCAGCCGGCCAACGCTGCAATTGGCAAAAACGAAACACTGAATCAGCAGTGGGGCAATGGCAGCGGTAAGTCAGAACGCTACGATACCAGTTCTTACCAGTGCAGCTATCCATATAACAGATCGATCGGTTTCTGCAGTGATACTACGAGCCGGTCAATTCCTTGCGGCTAACACAAGCTACTATTCTCCATCACGAACGTACCGATTAATCCTGCAGACCGACCAGAATCTAGTCCTGTACCGGAAATGCGATGGGCGTGCGGTGTGGGCCTCGGAGACGGTTGGACTGCCTCCGCTACGCGCCGTACTGAATAGTGATGGACATTTTGTCCTCGGGTCATGGGGCAATAACAGCGACCATCTCGAGAGATCCTACTGGTCCACCGAAACCTGGGGGTATGGCGAATCGAGACTCCTGCTGTCGGATCAGGGCTACTTCTACCTCTGTAACGATGAGAAAGGATGCTACTGGCGCTCCTCACGGTCCACGGGCACTGAAAGTTGGCAGTGTGGTGGGTGGGTCAGCATTGTTCCAGCAGAATCGCTCCATTACCGAGGTAAGCTACGAAATATGGCGATACTATTAATCTAACAAACGAAAGGACTTTAAAGTTTAAGTCACTCCGTCATCTATTAAAATCTGTTTTTCTGCTCTTCAGTGATAGTCAAAGTGGGAAATGATATGGAATTAAATATTTCACACGACTCTCCTAATAGAAAATTTAGCTTGGCATTATCCCGTTACAACAAACAGCAACTGGTGGTGTGGCGCGGACAGGATAGTCGAATTACTTTTAAGGCTGCCGCACAGAAAAACATTAGCCACATTCGACTGCAGGAAGACGGGAATCTCGTCATATACAGCTTGGAAAATCAGCCGCTGTGGTCCTCCATAACGAACGCACCGAACTACGAGTACGAAAATCCCGAGTTGCGGCTGTACGATGATGGTTTCCTCTATCTGTGTGACAACCGCGGATGTTATTGGCAGTCAAGCGGATTTCTTGATGTTGTAAACGCGAACATTGATAAACGCTTAAGTTTTCTGCTCAGAAATATTGGATAGCACTGAAACCAAATTATAAAAGAATATTATTGGCGAAAAACATGATTTCGTGTCTTGTGCCTGTTTCTGTCTTGGTTTTATTTCAGCAAATCTAGTTTACGAAGTCTGTGCTTTTTTGCAACGTCGATCGTTATTGTAACTAAGTAAAGATTGATTGGTTGTTTTTACAATTCAATCTATTTTTTTGCGCGGTGATGTTTGATGGAGTCCAGGAAGATATGGCACTATTAAAAGCCGCTTGTATCTTGCTCCAGCTATCACCTACCTGCAACTGCTCTAGCGGTCAACAGCCACATTTCCAAAACGTTCGCAATGCGGCTGTTGTATATCAGCCAGCTTGCTTTGGCTATCATCTGATTCATGTCTCCATAAATAGCTGAATACTGTAATTCGGCAAAAGATTATAATCCTATGTCCAGCGCAAAAAAAGGGCATGAACTTTATTTTTTTCACCTGATATCATTACAGAAAATTATTTATTACGTGAATCATAACAATATTTCCATCAAATTAATATTAGGTAAAACTCATAAGAAGCTAGATATGAGGCGAGAGATGCATGTGTGGGAAATACATAATAATAATTACTTTATCGGGTTCCGTCAGATTCGGTTCTTTTTCCTTCAGCATCTTTACAAGAACACTATTAACTTCCGTCACCATGTGAAAGTATGTTCTGAGCCACAAAAAGTATCATTTAGATCTCCTTGCAATCAAATTTACAGAGAATAACGCTTGTTATTGAGCCTAGAAACGTTGCAAAGTTCCAAACGTTTTTTTCGCGATAGAATTTGTCGACGTTCGTTAAGACGCTGCTGCTGCTCGATTGCTACATAAAGGTCATTCCATATTTCACTGATAAGCAATGCTAAGTTGCTAACCGTGTTGCGTTGTGCATCTGTTGCTGCATTAGCAGGTATGGATAAACTCTACTAATAAACTATGCCGTAAACCGTACAGTACTGAGTATAGTACTCTGTACAATGTTCTCTGTCCATCTGTAGATGTTTACGTTTAATACAATACTCCGCCCGGGAGTATGTTTGGGCTCCTGGAGGCGTAACTGTCCCCACGAGCAATATTTCTTATCCCTGAATGTCTCGGAGCCTTGAAAATAACCCTGTACCGAAAGTGTCGTGAGGGTTGTGAGGGGCCACATAAATTTACAACTGTTGCCAGTACAACTGCGCTTTTGTACTGTGGTGACGCGAAATTAAGGGACAAAGAAATCGCCAGGACCACCCGCACTAGCTGTCGGTTCCTTTGACATCAATGAAGCCGACGCCTAGTGAGGGCGGTCCAGGGGATTTCTCTGCCACTTAATTTCGCGTCACTACCGTAACTGCACTGAAGTAATCTTCGTAATGAAGTTATATCACAATGTTCGAGTACAAGAAAAAAGAGCTTGCAAAGTGTGCACTGCCCGCATACACCAACACATATTTTCCCAGTGCAACCAGCAAGCGCTATTTTCCCATACACGAACTCTCTGGTATAACAATAATATTATGTTCGAATCAGTTGTCATGCGTGGCAGTCACATGCCCGTCGGCTTTTGAACGATTGATCCTACAAAATTCCCGAACACATTTACCGGGTTATTCTGAAATGATCCAGTTTTCCTGAAACACTGACTGTAACTATAAAAAAAGTCCGTCAGACGTCGTAAGACGTCCACGCGTCGGGATCGGTAAGAAGTAGCTGGTATTTCGGGGAACGGATAAAACAGTGACGAGCCAGAAGATTGAACGATTAGAACGCATGCACTGCTAAAACAAAGCCGGAACCGAATGACGCTTTGTACATGTGCAGTGTACCACATAAAATGGCAGATATCAGCAATCAAGATTATTCCTTCGATATTTATCAACGCTATCGAGACTCGAGTTATGCTCGAGTATGTATCGATCTGCGGGTATGTACTAGACACCGATGCATATAAATAAAGCTGTTCGCGGTTTTTGCTTCAAAACAAGTTACATTAACTCATTAAGGTCAATCACGTTCTAATAAGAGCAAAACCAACTGATTGTGCAAAATGTGGCTTTACTTCTGTATTATTGCTGCTTATGCAGTTGCCACGCTAACCGCTGCCTTACCAAGCAGTAAGTGTCCAACTTGACCACAAAATTGATGCCGAAAATAGTTAAAAGCACCCCGTTTTGCTTCTTTCTTAGATTTACGGGATTTTACTCGCGCAAGAAGCGTGAATACCGGGGCACCGCCGTGGCTCACTGATCTCGACTCGATTGCAGCGGCTTTTCGTGACCTACAACTTCAGTTAAAAATCCCCCATTCGCATGAAACGGTTGGTGAACAGCCGGTTGATTGTAATTAGTTGGATTCCTCCTTTACGCGCGTACTCGGTAGCGATGGCCATTTTATCGTCGGATCGTGGGGGACCGGTGACAGCATCGAGACATCTTACTGGTTTACCGAAACCTGGTGATACGGCGAATCGAGACTGCTGCTGTCGCATCTAGGTTACTATTTGTTTAACAATAAAGGAGTCTATTGGCGATCCTCTCGCTCTTCCGGATCCCAAGGCTGGCAGTGCGGTGGTCCGGTCAATCTTGCTCCATCAGAATCGTACGATTACTAAGACAAGTTGTTTGGTCTTACGAAGACCTCTTATGTAATATTAATTGGAATTTTAATTTGCATTTTCAATTCTTGTCGAAATGGGAAACAGTATGGATCTGGATACTTTGTACAGTTCTCCAAACAGCAAATTCACGTTGGGACCATCCCGTTTCAACAGGCAATTAATGGTAGTGCGCCGGCAAGACAATCGAATAAGTTTCAAGGCGGCGACATAGGAACGCATCAACAGCGTCCGACCGCAGCAGGACGGGAATCTAGTGGCGTACAGCATCGATAATCGCGCCCTTGGTTCCTCCATAAAAAATGTTCTGACCTATGACGAGTGGGAACTGCGTCTATACGACGATGATTTTCTTTATCTATGTGGCTCTCGTGGATGTTACTGGCAGTCAAGCGAATCACTTGATTAACTTTGATAAATTGTTAATTGTAGTTGTCTAGTCAAGCTGACAGTGTTCTGCAATTTTTTACGGCTTGGATCTTAAACAGCCGTGTCCACCAGCATCGCTTTTCCGGATCTGCAGCACACAGGCGCTGGCTGCAGGATCCGTTTCTTGTCAGTTGATTGGTTTTGGTTTTTGTGCCGTATCTCCATAAAGTCGATACTTCCGGGTTGTGTTCTGTCGTGAGCGGTGGCAGCAGCCACCTGATAGTACACACTAGCTATGCTTTGCCCAGATTACTGTTGTTCTGACTAAAAGCACTACTCGTATCCAAACTTTGCTTCTTCATGTTCTCGCATAATGCTCCCCACTGGTAATTCGGCAGTTATCTGTTGAGGGTGTTCGCTCTGCAGCTACAGTAAGGCATTTGCTTCGAGATAATACATAACCGGATGTCGTCGGCAAAAAAATCTTGACGACTGCTGAAGACGATCAAAACGCTAGAAGGGAAACACTGGATGTCGTTTGTGCCGTGCGGTGCGCACGTCAATCCCTTTTTTAATCTTTGCCCTCCACAGAACGACTTTCTAATTAGATAAAAAAATCTACCGTATTTATTATATTAATATAGGGGGAAAAAGCAGTCTAGCCGAACCATTCCCCTGTACTGCTGCCGTCAGCCGGCTGGAGTTTTACGTTGTGGCTAAACATGGTGCTTATGTACCGCGCCTGGTTTAGCCGCATGTACTGCCGTAACGTCAAACTCCAGCCGGGTGACGGCAGCAGTGCCGTGAACTGGTTCGACTGACATGGTTTTCCCCCCTATATGCGAGCTAACACGAATTTCCTGTCAAAATACAAACAGAGAGCGAAGAAGTGTCCGTCTATATATCGACTTCCAATTGCATGTTGTGTACACCGCAAACTACTGTAGATGCTAAATAAAATTATTAAAAACCAAGGGAAGGCTGTACTGTTGAGCGCGTGCGAGAAATAATATCCTTCATCCGGTGTACTTGGTTTCTGGCAGATGTCTGGGCCTCCTGCATATCACTTTTCACATTATTTGTCGCCGTATTTAATGAGTGCGTAGCATCCCAAAAGGACAAGCCAGTGACGGGAAAGGTCACTGTCTTACTAGGATTTCTACGTATATTCAAAGGCCGCTCTCTTCAAAGGTCATCAAAGCGGTATTGCGATGAAACAATACAGAAAAAAATGTTTAGAAAACCATTGGCGCGCCACAGCACGGCCGAGCGTACATATACATGTCGCTTTATCTTTTCTCAAAGGAATTCAGATAAACGCCCAGCATTTTCCATAATTTTTGGTTTCACACCAAATTCACGATTATTTTTGTGATTAATTAGCATACAAATAATTTATTTTACAATACAAGTATATACGAGCACAGTCTTAGGTGCGAGCCTTAATTAAACATACCGTGTGTACAGTAGTTTAGCAAAAAATTAGTAGTTTGACATCAAATACTTATATCGTTATTACTGTTGTCTGCGCCATTGCCTTGAATAGTATCCTTCGCTAGGATGCTGATGGTATACCAATTCATTAAGGTCTTTTATTAAAGGATCAGTACTTTGTTATGAAGCTTTATTACGTGCAAATACTCTGTACAACTGCTGCACCTTAGTGTGGCGTTATGACAATAGTTGGTTCTAGTCAATAGTCAGTTGCCTGTCGACGTCTGAACTATAAACTAGTTTCCACTAAAACACTTTACAGTTTTTCTGTAAGAGATGACTGTATCCAAAAAAACTTCCGTCAGATGCCCGAAACGTCCACACGTGCAAATGGGCAGGAACGACTAACAATTGTAAGTCGTACTGACATTTTGGGGAATTGATAGGCATATGACGCGCTGGAGATGAACGATTAATATCTGTACTCATGTACAGGCAGGCAGTACAGTTAGAACTGAGCCGGAACTGTACAGAGTAGTCTGCTTTGCAACACGCGCATCGTAGTTACAGCATTTCCACATTCCGGTTTATAGTATTCATTCGATATTTATCACTGTTATCTAAACTCAAATTACGTTATAGCTATTGAATCATGAAGGTGGTATTGTATATAAGTATTTCTGCTTGCCTGATTTAGCAAAAGTACCATTTATGATTTATTCTACCGGGTGGCTGAACAAAATGGCCGTCTGTTTTGTCATGGTGCGCTGGATCCGTCTAACACTGAATTGACGTTATCTTAGTTTCATTCGATAGAGCAATGCTTTTAACATTAAAAAG